GGGAAAGAAGCTCAGAAAGGATCTCTGCTCTTTGATGACCTCCCTCCGGCCAGCAGTACTGACTCAGGTACAGTCTTCAGGCTCTCCCAGGTGTGTGTCAACGTGTCATCCTGGGATTGTAGTTGTCTCAATCTTTTTCCCTTTCCCCCATTTTCAACACACAGATGTTTTAGGTGTTGGACTGTCTTAAGTTTTGAATCCATGGCATCAGGTAAGGCAGAAAAATCCACTAGTTGCTAGCTCTGAGAAACTGCGTGAAATGTTGAGCAGTTTTCTCTGGTTCATTTGAGTATATTATAGCTGAAATATGATGTAACTCCGTAAGGCAGGTTTTTGTTTCCTTTCAATGATAGGACTTTAAAAGACATTATTTACCGCAGTGTGAATTGCCACTGGATTGACACAGAGTTTTGAGTTTATGTCAGTGACCTGCATAGGCGTCCTGGTGGGATGGATTCTGACACTTATGCCTTACCCAGATTTGTGGGCTCACTGAGTGTCCTGCTGTGTTTCAGGACCAGGCGGACCTTTGCTTTTTGATGACCTTCCACCAGCCAGCAGTGGCGAGTCAGGTAAGTAGTAGGGAAAAATCCAACATGCTAGTGGAAATAATACACATTTTACTCTTTTGTGAAATTTATTTATAGCTCTTAAGGTTTAGGATGACATTAAATTATACTATAGCATAGATTTATTAAACGCAAGTAGGCATCATCAGATGGAAGGAAAAAGATTAGCTAGATATAACATTACTTTTTGGTGATTTTTTTTTTTTCTTCCTTGGGGTTCAGCCTCTTACAGCTGACTAAGAATTAAGAGTTTAGTAATTTACTTTCCACTTCGTTATTAATGTTTTTTAATTAAAAAATCTGTCATTCTGGTTTGCCTTATGTTCCTGACCCAAATGTATCTAGCGGAAGTATCTGAATATGTGAAATAGAGTTAAAATATTTAGTGTCACCGGCTGGCTTGGCTCAGTGGTTGAGCGTCAACCTATGAACCAGGAGGTCACGGTTGGATTCCCAGTAAGGTAACATGCCCTGGTTGCAGTCTCAATCCCCAGTGTGGGGCGTCAAGAGACAATCAGTGATTCTCTCTCATCATTGATGTTTCTATCTCTCCCTCTTCCTTCCTCTCTGAAATAAATTGTGTGTGTGTGTGTGTGTGTGTGTGTGTTTGTTTGTTTAGTGTCCCTGAACCCATAAATACTGATATGTACCGTATTTGCCGGCGTATAAGACGACTGGGCGTATAAGACGACCCCCTAACATTTCCACTCAAAATACAGAGTTTGTTATATACTCGCCGTATAAGACTACCTCCTCTTCCGCACACCTTCCACACACCAAATAAAAGGTAAAACAATATCAGATTTGATTTTAACATTTTAATTTATATTCAAATGCTTATGACATGCAGGAAAACTGTCACAAGGCTGTATGTAATCAAACATATACATAAAACAGTGCAAGTTTATTACCGGTAAACATACCGGTAATTCACTAAAGAAAACACACTCTATAGACTGGTACCGTAGATGCTTCTCAGGAACACAGGCAAGCAGCCCACAACCTAGAGGGACTGTCAATGATAGAAGAAAGAT